ACTAGGACTTTGCGCTCTGACTCCAGGTTCCAGACCGTGCTGCATGTCTGCAGAAGCTGCTTCCGTTCGACGGTCGTCTCCGCTGCGTGGAGTCTCGTAGGCGTTCTTGTGGTAGCTGCAAATGTGGTCGGCGGCGGTGTGGCTGCTGGCGGTCTTGTCGCTATTGTCGCCGTTGGTGATGCCCCCTTCGTCCCCTTAGCTGAGGTAGCTGTCGTGGCCGGCGTTCGTGACATTGGTTGGTGCTGTGCTGACTACTCTGAAGCCCAATCTAGCAATGATCATCTCGTCGACATGGGCAGCTGCGGCGAGTCGAAATCCTCGGCGGCTGCATCCTTGATCATGGTCTCGTGTATGGGGTTTGCCGAATTGGTGACTACCTTGATGGTCCCGAACTCGTAGTGGTTAGCCGTGCCGCATGTCGCTGCGGCGTGCTTGATGATGCGGTGGCTCTCGGGGGCCGCCCGGAAGATGGGGTCCTCGGCGTGTATGGCGGGGAAAGGTGCCTTGGCTTGTGCGGCTGTATGCATGGTCATGAGGATCTCTCTGGTGACAGAGTTGGCCGAGCACAGTTCGTTGGCTATCTTTTCTGTGGCACCAGCTGGTCCCCATGGCCTTTCCTTAGAGCGGCGGCTATTGGCGCAAGTGGTGGCGACCTCGGCATTGTCGCGGCCGCACCAAGTCTTTCCCGGTGGCTCGGCGTATATGGCGGCGAACTCTCCTTTCATGATCCTATCTCGGACGAGCTGTAGGTCGTGATCCGATGTCGGTGCTTCGGAGTCGTTGTTGGAGTCGATCGTGCGGTAGCCCAACCCGCTCATGCTAGAGACTGTGCTGGTGACCATGATCTGTTGGAGGTCGCCGTGTTGCCGAGGGCGATCCACGATGAATACACCTTCCTGTCGTCCGGCTGGCTCGGGTATCTTGAATGCAGTAGGTTGAGGTACCGCGGGTTCGATAGCGGCGTAAACCTTAGGAATGTGGGGGGGCGTCTCGAGGAGTGGGGGCGGCGTGCTGTCGATCTTGAAGGCGGGTATCTCGCTGCAGGTCGCCTGTCGGCCGCACTTCTCGTTTGCTGCGGCGGTCGTGGCAATGGCGTCGTGGTTGTCCGATCTCTGTTGCTCAGTAAGCGGTTCCATCGTCATGATGTGCCATGCATGCCATGACATGTGGCAGCGGTGGGCCACCGCGAGGTGCTTCAAGAGCCTCGGGGAGGTATGGGACCCCGCCTGGCAGCACCTGCACGCCGCACCTGTTGCCCATCGTCGATGATTCTCGCGGTCGGGGTGGTCCCTTCCCACGTGCACTGCCATTCCCTGCTCGGTTGCCGTGCGGCTGCAGATGTAGCGTGCGCACTTGGTCTTGGCGTCGCCGTCGGAGTGGTCGATCTCGACTGTGCTCGATGGGGCCAGGGGCATTTGGATGACCTTCTGGAACTTGACAAACTGGGCCTAGTCTCGTATGTAGTGCAAATAGGACTTTGTGGCCGCCGTGACCGCGTTGGTGAAGTGCTTGGGTCTCTGGCGGGCCCAGTTGATGATGTCGCTGCGTTGCTGGCCCTTGCTCGGCCATCTGTCTTGCGGGAGGTGCCCCCTGAGCAAGGCAAAGTCCTGCTTGCGGAGGTGGCTCCATGTGCTTCGGAGTTGTCGCCGGCTGTCAAGTAGCTGCAATAAGACGGCGGGGGCGCGATTCAGGAGGCGGGGTAAATAGCGTAATCGGGCTGCCATCTAGTGTGCGTGTGTGTGTGTGTGTCGAGGTCGGGGCTGCCCGTCTTCACGGTCGCCTCGCTGTCGGCGGCGTGCTTGTCGGGCGTGTTCGTCCTGGGCGTGGGGGCCGCCGCTCGGTAAAGCCAACATGTACTTGGTCGCAATGTAGTTGCGGTCCTTCTTGGTCAGGCGGTTCCATATGTGGCTGTTGCAGGTCAGCGACGAGGTCGAGAAGGCGTGGACATACTTCATCATGGCCTTCGCCGATAGCTTCTCACGGCGGAGGATCTGCTTCTCCAGAGGTCTTGCGGCGCCGAGTGTTCTGTTGACCCTGAGGCAGATCTCGGGGCCCATGCCCCCCCCCGCCGCGATGATGGCGATGATGGGCTTTCTGCTGGGTCACAAGCTGGACTTTGATGGGGATGCTCTCGAGCCCGATGAAGGTGACCTTATCCCTGGCGATATTATGGTGCTCCTTCTTGGCCCCGCTGCCGGTGTGCATGAAGATAGCTTTCGTCTTGCCAGGGTGGGGCTTGAGCCCGTGCTGGTACGCTGCTGTGCACAGTCTGGTGGCTGAACGTCGTGTCACCTGCACGCGGTCGCTGGCACTGGCGGTCGAGTTGTAGTCTGTGGGGTCGTCAACGGAGGACGCAGTCCTGAGCGCGCCGCCTTAGTGGTGTTGCGGGGGAGCGCGGAGCCTCACATGCATCTATGTCGTGGCCTCCTGATGGTTGGTTGCTTTCTTCGGCTTCTGCTGCTGGTTGGTCGATTGCCCGCAGCAGGATCGCGAAGTGAGTGCTGAGGGCGACGCCAGGTCGCGTGCTTGTCCGTGGAAGCTGATAGTGCTTGGCGCTATTCGCCGTCATCCAATTGAAGGTATGGCGGTCGGCGATCATGCGGCAGCGGTGCTCGTCGTCGGTGCGTTGGTTGTTGCATGCTGGCTGCATCAGTATGTCAATCAACGTGATTGGGGAATGCTGGAATCTATATCTGGTCGATGAGGTCATCACGTTCGTCGGTGGCGGTGTGGAACTCCATGCAGAATTCCCTGATAACGGGCTGGGGGGCTTCCCTGAGGTCGGGGAAGGTGGTGCTACCCGATCTGGCCCTCCTCTGGCAGTCAACGATGAAAGCGAGAGATGCGTGGGCAATGAAGTCGGTCACCATCTTGGGTCTCGCTCCACACTGCCTCGCGTCCAACAAGTTAGGTAGCAGGCATGTCACTTTGGAGCGCAGAAAGCTGCTGTGCATCTTCCTGGCAGCGTTGTTGAGGAGGGCGCCGCGATAGGACTTCTGCTGTTCTACAGCCCCCCATGGCCCCTGTAGAAGTGCGCGGGGTACCCGCCCTTGGCGGCGATGGGCTCGGTGCTCTCGATCTGGGTCTTGGCCCAAATGGGATGTAGAAGAGGAGCCATCCCTTCGGGGTCCGATCTGGCCATGTCGTCTGTAAGCTGGTCTGGCCCACCTCGTCGTCCTCTTGGCAGCAGCCAGTTGGCTAGTGAGCTGGTGTCTGGGGGTGATGTTCTGAATCTTGGGTGTTGATCGTGTTTGTGCAGGCGCGCTCGTTGTAGTCCTTGGCTACCCCGTCGGCGCGGTCGGCGATCTCGGCATTGGTTGCGAAGGGCTTTCCGTCTTCAGTGCTGCGAATGGTTGGCGTGGGCGGCTGTTTGGGCTTTCGCCTTCCGAAGGCCAGCAGTCGTTTGGAATGTGGAGCCTCTTGTCTCGGTGCGCGATCGTCGATGGCGGCGTTCATTTTGTCGGCGGTCCTCTCCAGGAATGCGTCGCGGTCTTCTTAGACCCATTGCCTGAGTGTTGGCTTGGTTGAGCTGAGGAACTGGACGATGGTGTCGTAGTAGTGCTTGGCGCTGTGGAAGTGGTCGGTCTTTTTTGTAATGGCTCTGGGCGTTGCACTGTCTGTTTGGTTGCAGGGTGCAAGGGGGCCGAATATTATGGATGCGGCGATGAATTGGGCGTAGACGTTGATGTTGGCCAAGAGCCCCGCGTCCGCTGGGTCGGGGCGCACGGCGTCGAGCGAGAGGAGCTCTGCTGTGTATCGGAGCCGCTTCATGCCATATTCGTTGGTGATCCCGTTCTTCTTGATGATTCGGGTCGTCTGGGGCAGTGATCGGCTGACACGTAGCAGGGCAAATCGCCGATTCGAGATGTAGGGCTTGTGTGGGGTGCGGCCGTGGGAGCGGAAGCACTCGCAAGCAACCTTTTGTGATCTTCTCGGCGATGGTGGCGAGGTGGTCGTCGACGTTGGTATCCCATGCCGGGTGCTGGATGTCGCGTAGCTTGTCGCTGAATTTCTTGCGGCAGGCGTCGTCGGCTAACGTGTACTCGTCGAGTTTTGGGGCGCCCTTGGAGGTCGAAGACACAATCTCGTATGCGAGCTCCAGCTTGACGGGGTAGTGGTCATCCTTGGAATGCGGTCATCCTTGGAATCGGGGTCGCAGCCGTTGTCAATGCCATGCAGGACAGAGCAAGCCTCGATCGAATCCAAGTATCCAGAATCCACGTAGTCGATGCGGTGGGGGCTCTTGCCTGAATGCCAGGTTCGGTGCTCGTGCCCTTGGCTGGCGAACGCGCTGGCGGCCGCGAGGTGGTTGGAAAGGAGCAGCTCGTGGAGCCTTCGACCGTTTTGGATCTTCTGTCTGCTTCATGCCTTGGTCGCCAATCGCCGTGCTAATGATGTCACCTGCCCTGGCATTGGCGTCTAGCAGCATGATGCTGACCTAGTATTCTGCTGTCGCGCAAGTGAGTTCTTTCTCCCAGAAGCAAGTCTTCTCGGTCTCGAGGGCTTCGGAGCGGGGCGCGTGGGCAACGCGCAGCACGTGGGAGAAGCCAGGCGCGGTCACGCGGATGATAAGGGGCCTGGGGTCCTGCTCGGCGACGATGAACTGGTCGGGCTTGAAGTCGAGTTCTTGCTCGCCGCATCGCCCGTGCGGCTTGCTGGGGAGGACGCGGCGCTCGCATCCGTAGTTGTAGCCCTTGTGGCCGCTGGAGATGACGTGGTAACTGTTAGCGTTGGCGCAGGAGGCGTCGCCCTCCTTCTCTGAGTCACGTATTCCTCATGGCGCCCTGGCTTCCTGAATACCGATAATGTCTAAGTCTTCGGCGCGAAGGCTGGCCATGGTGGTCTTGAATTTGTGGATAATCGTTCCTTCGTTTTGCTCCTGATTTAGGCTTCCTGCCGGTCGAAATTCTGAAGGTCGCGATGTTGATCTCCATCTCGGTCCTTCTATCGCTGGCCTCGGTCGGCTTGTTGAGTTGGTTCGATTTGGCGGCCGTCGGGACGTTGGTTGCCGCGAGGCTGCCTTGCGCCAAATTGGGGTAGGCCTCCTTGGTGTTCTCGTCGGCGTCGAGCAAGAACTCCCAGTCCCGTTGGTAAGTGCCGTCCGTTGTACTTGCCCGTTCTTGCTGTGGAACTGGTACTGCAGTGATTCGACCGCGGCTGGCGGCCGCGTCGGCAACTTCGTTCCAAGTGCTGTGCTCGCGGGCGTGAACGTGCTGCAGGTCGATCTTCTGGCTGACCATGTCGTAGAGGATGCAGAGGAGTCCGAACGAGGTCGGGATCGCGGCTGGTGAAGGCCGCCCTCTTCGCAAGCTGCAGGGCCCCCAGCGAGTCCGTAGATGTCGTGACGACGTCGTCGAGGTTGCGGTGGATGACCCAGGCGAGAGCCCATATGAGTGCGGCGATCTCGACGGTGGTGGATGTGGTTTTCAAGTTGCTGTTGTCCATCGCGGCGACGTCGGTGGCGCTCCTGTGCTTCCCGGCCACCGCTCCTTGAAATGTGAAGCCGCCTTCGTCTTCCCCAACCATGATCACTGCCCATGCGTCTTCGATCGGCTGCTTGGGGTGCTTAGAGCCGCCGGTGAAGAGGTGGGGCCTGGAGTGCGGCTGCAGGGGCCCCAGTGGGTGGTGGCGAAGCATGTGCTCGACGGTCTCGTTGAGGCTCTTGTCGTGGCATTCGAAGGTTAGTGTCGGATGCTGGGTTTGCTGTAGTGTCTCTGTGATATTGGGTATTGCTTTGAAGTCGACGCGGTTCAGCGGCTGTGGCGTAGGTGGAGCTGGTTGCTGCTGCTGGAGGTCAGGTGGTAGTGGTATCTTGGCAGAGGGGGCTCGAAGTAGCGGCTCTGGTCGGTGCGGCTGCTAGGTGAGGGGTGGGTCGAGGTTGTTGCAGTGTCGTACGGACAGTGTGGTGGCAAGGGGTAGGTGGGGGGTTGGGTATTGTGGCTGCGTCGTCGGTGCTATGAGTGGGTAAGGTAGAAGTCGTTGCTCGATGTGGTTGTCTGCTGTAGAGCCTGGCAGGATATCTGGGCTTGACGGCTGGTGGGTGGTTGTGGTGCTGATGTGGGGTGTCTAAGTATTTGTCTTCAATGACTGGGGTGTCGCCTGGGTTTTATGTCGTTACCGAAGGCCACTGGGGGGCGCTCGGAGTTGTTGCTGGCCCTGGGGTGTCGCCAGGGTCCAGGCATCTCGTCGCCGAGGTGCTGATCTTGGTGCAGTACCTCGGCAAAGGGCAGTCGTTGCTGCTGCTGCTGCTGCTGCGCCAAGCTTTGCTGGGGCTGGCGTCGGTTGATCTCCTTGTCGGTGATCTTGAACTGTCTTCCTGGAGAGGAAGGGAGTGGCGACTGGGAGCCAGAATGGCTGGGCGCCAAGGGACTACCAGAGCACGCGGGTCGGTCGATTCGCGGGGAGCTCGACGAAGTCGTCGCCCTTGGTGGCCGCGCCATGGGAGTCGCGGCCGCCTCAGGGTCGCGGTGACCTTGTAGGCGCGCGGTGCTGGGGCTGGCCCTGGGGGGTCGCCAGGGTCCAGTCGAAGCTGCGTCGCGCTGCTGCTTGTGACTCTGGATGTCGCCAGGTCGCGTCGCAGCTCCTGCTGGGCCAGGGGGCGGCTCTTATGGTTTGTTTCGCCCAGAAACATCACTTGTGCCCCCCCTGGCCTGCTGCTGTTGGTTGTCGTCGCCGATGGCGTCTGAAGGTGCGGCGGCTTCTGCTGGGCCGGGGGGCGGCTCTTCTGGTTTATTTCGTCCAGAAGCACCGCTTGTGCCCCCCCTGACCTGCCGCTGACGATGGTCTGTGCTGGCCGGGGGTTGACTCCCCAGTCCAGCGCAGGTCGAAGAGTTGTCTTGGCTGCAGCCTGAGTGGATTGCCCACTCACGAGTTGGGCTGCCTGGCCTGGAGGTCACGCCTGTCGCTGTGATGCCGGGGCAGACGCGCACCTCTTTGAAATACTCGACGTCTTGCTTGTCGTTGGTTGCGTGCGGGCGCGGTCGGTGAGGGGTGATGTCCCTGGCGAACCTTGCCGTGCTAGGTGGCGAGCTTGGAGGTGTCGTCGACGTCGGGGCCGACCGTGACTTGGCCTCCAGTGGTTTGTCGCGTGCTATATGCCGTGGTGTGCCGAAGACGATGGGGGGACCCGCCATGCCTAGTGCCTGGCGCCAACGTGGTGATGTTGCGCTGCTGGACCTTCTCGCCCTCCCCATGCGAGATGTAGCGGCCGAGGGGTTGGTCCTCGGTCCGCTAACAGGTGGCGGCAGCTGCATAAAGTGGATTGCCCACTGGTCGCTTGGTGCAGGGTTGGGTTGAGGGTTGGGTAGGTGCGGCACGCTGTCCCCGAATCATGTACCACATTTTTGGGGGAGGGGCAGTGGTGGCGAGGTCGGCGCGTCGCAGCAGCCCTGCACGAGTCGATGTCGCTGGGCACGTGGACTGCGGGGTCTTCTGGTGTCTGGCATAGCCTTTCTTCCCGGGCCAGTCGCCCCCCAGTTAGTTGTGGCGCTATTAGCACATTGAGCTGGAGTCGGAGTTGGCCCCGCTGCCGTCGATGAAAGCTAGGGCGCCGTCTCCAGGATCTGCGAATCCGTCTCCAGCGTCACAGATGCAGACCTTCTTGGGTTGCGTTGTTCTGGTAGTTGAGCCTCCTTTCCTTGGCGCTGCCCGAGGGGGTGGGGCTGACCTTGCCCTGTCGGGCGCCCCCGAGTGGAACCTCGGAGGGGGCTGGATTGGAACCAGTGTGGCTGTGGGTGAGATGTCGGGGAGTGGTATCCTTTGGGGGTGTAAAGGGGGGTTCAACTTCATCTCCTGGTGTGATGTCAATCAAGATTCAAGATCATTACCTAACAGCGAAGACTGATAGGTTTCTAATAGTGTCAAAAGAAAACATCTTGACTCCCCAAAGGGGTCTGGGCGAGTGCCGGGGAGAACCCGCGGAAGTAGTTTTAAGCAAAAAGTTACACACTTCGTGGTCTTCGAGGTCCCAGAACTCCATTCCTGGGCATGGTTTGGAATGCCCGGAGCCAACTGTAGGCCACTTCGTGGTCTTCGAATTCCCAGAACTCCATTCCCGGGCCAAATTCTGAATGCCGGGAGCCAACTGTAGGCCACTTCGTGCTCTTCGAGTTCCCAGAACTCAATTCCCGGGACACATTTTGAATGCCCGGAGCCAACTGTAGGCCACTTCGTGCTCTTCGAGTTCCCAAAAACTCCAGTCCTGGGCATGATTTTGAATGCCCGGAGCCAACTGTAGGCCACTTCGTGTTCTTCGAGTTCCCAGAACTCCATTCCCGGGCCACATTTTGAATGCTGAGGCAGGCTGATGCTGAAGCTGAAGCAAGCTGAGGCTGAGGCAGGCGGAGGCTGAGGCCGAGGCTGAAGGCAGACTGAGGCTGAGGCTGAGGCTGAGGCAGGCTGAGGTTGAGGCTGAGGCAGGCTGAGGCTGAGGCTGAGGCAGGCTGATGCTGAGGCAGGCTGAGGCTGAGGCTGAGGCTGATGCAGGCTGAGGCTGAGGCAGGCTGAGGCTGAGGCCGAGGCTGAAGGCAGACTGAGGCTGAGGCTGAAGCAGGCTGAGGCTGAGGCAGGCTGAGCTGAGGCTGAGGCAGGCAGGCTGAGGCTGAGGCTGAGCAGGCTGAGGCTGAGGCTGAGGCTGAGGCAGGCTGATGCTGAGGCAGGCTGAGGCTGAGGCTGAGGCTGATGCAGGCTGAGGCTGAGGCAGGCTGAGGCTGAGGCCGAGGCTGAGGCAGACTGAGGCTGAGGCTGAAGCAGGCTGAGGCTGAGGCTGAGGCTGAGGCTGAGGCTGAGGCTGAGGCAGGCTGATGCTGAGGCAGGCTGAGGCTGAGGCTGAGGCTGAGGCTGATGCAGGCTGAGGCTGAGGCAGGCTGAGGCTGAGGCTGAAGGCAGACTGAGGCTGAGGCTGAAGCAGGCTGAGGCTGAGGCTGAGGCAGGCTGAGGCTGAGGCTGAGGCAGGCTGATGCTGAGGCAGGAAGGCTGAGGCTGAGCAGGCTGAGGCTGATGCTGATGCAGGCTGAGGCTGAGGCAGGCTGATGCTGAGGCTGAGGCTGAGGCTGAGGCTGAGGCTGAGGCTGAGGCTGAGGCTGAGGCTGAGGCTGAAGGCTGAGGCTGAGGCTGAAGCAGGCTGAGGCTGAGGCTGAGGCTGCAGGCTGAGGCTGAGGCTGAAACAGGCTGAGGCTGAGGCAGGCTGAGGCTGAGGCTGAGGCTGATGCAGGCTGAGGCTGAGGCAGGCTGAGGCTGAGGCCGAGGCTGAAGGCAGACTGAGGCTGGGGCTGAAGCAGGCTGAGGCTGAGGCTGAGGCAGGCTGAGGCTGAGGCTGAGGCTGAGGCAGGCTGATGCTGAGGCAGGCTGAGGCTGAGGCTGAGGCTGATGCAGGCGGAGGCTGAGGCTGAGCAGGCCGGGCATGGAAGGCAGCGCCAAGGCTGAGTCCTGAGCTGCTGAGCCTGAGGCGAGTCAAGGCGTGAATCAGCCCTGAGGCTGAGGCTGAAGCAGGCTGAGGCTGAGGCTGAGGCAGGCTGAGGCTGAGGCTGAGGCATGCTGATGCTGAGGCAGGCTGAGGCTGAGGCTGAGGCTGAGGCAGGCTGAGGCTGAGGCAGGCTGAGGCTGAGGCCGAGGCTGAAGGCAGACTGAGGCTGAGGCTGAAGCAGGCTGAGGCTGAGGCTGAGGCAGGCTGAGGCTGAGGCTGAGGCAGGCTGATGCTGAGGCAGGCTGAGGCTGAGGCTGAGGCTGATGCAGGCTGAGGCTGAGGCAGGCTGAGGCTGAGGCCGAGGCTGAAGGCAGACTGAGGCTGAGGCTGAAGCAGGCTGAGGCTGAGGCTGAGGCAGGCTGCGGCTGAGGCTGAGGCAGGCTGAGGCTGAGGCAGGCTGAGGCTGAGGCTGAGGCTGAGGCTGACGCAGGCTGAGGCTGAGGCCGAAGCTGAAGGCAGACTGAGGCTGAGGCTGAAGCAGGCTGAGGCTGAGGCTGCAGGCAGATTGAGGCTGAGGCTGAAGCAGGCTGAGGCTGAGGCTGTGACTGCGACTGCCGTTGCCACTGCGACTGTCATCGCGAATGCGACTACAACTGCGAGAACAGCAGAATTCTACAACTGGATCTTCCCTGAATATTAAGGGGAATGCTTCCAGATATGCTCCTACACATCGCTGTTAGGTTGCTTTGCCAGGATAATTGTTGTGGGTTTGCTCATTTTGGTTGCGCTGTCGCCGGTGCGGATGTTGGGCGGAGGGACGGAGCCAGGTCGGTCGAAGTCGGGGAAATTGGTGCCTTTTGGGGGTCGGTTGCCCGGTGGGGATCGTTGTGTCAAAGGGGTCGGTGGAAGTGGCGTCGGAACGGGGAAGGGGTAATCGTCTTCGGCAACGGGGGTCGGGTCAAGGTCGTCGGCGTCGCTTGGGACGGGGGCCCGCGTGCCCGCGTCGTCTTTCCTGTCTTCCGCCTCGTTGTCTTTGTCCTTTGCTGGAGTCGTCGGCGGTGACAACGGACGCGTTGCAGTAGCTGCCATCCCGAGGTCTTGCCGCTCCCATGCGCCGGAGTCGGTCGTGCTGTGGCGGGGGGCGCTGCTGTCGCTGCCTCTCATCGTGGGGTAGGGCGCGAACGCGCTGGTGCTGCTGTAGGGGGTGCCAGGAGGGATGAGATGAAGAGCTGCTTCAATTTCTCGTTCGGCATGCGCTTGTCCTTGATCCGCCATGGCCCGTCTCTTCTCTTCGTCGCCGTCTTGCCCCTTCAGCTGCATGTCGATTTCGCGCAAGATGCCAGCGTCCAGGTCG